AAAAAACAATAATTATGATAAAAAAACAAAAAAGTTGCTGCCTTCTCCACCCACTTTATATACATTTTTTTAAATAAATACTCACTGTTTATTATTATTTATTTTTTAACCATTATCATGAACCATTTAAGTCGAACTATTTTATTTAATGCAATTTTGTTTAACTGTATTACCCATTTATAACTAAAATTATAATCAAATGTTAATCATTCTAAAACAAGAACATAACACAGAGAGCAAATATCGCAAATATTTTGAATGAACCATCATTAATGTGTGAACTTTCACAAACTGAAGAACTTCCACTAATTGAAGAACAATCAAAAACAGAAGAACTTTCAGATACAGTCGGATTCCCAATATAAACAACATATGATCCCGAATTTTCCATGCATTTGTTTAGGTCGTATAATCCAGGAATAAAATCAGGATCAGCATCCCCGTGCAGTCTTCTGTGTTGTACGCTGTTAGTGTGAGTTTTTCATTTGCAATTTCTGCTTTAGTTGAAGAAAACGCCGAATTCTTAGAACATTGTTTATATAGATATTCCAATGGGTAAGCATCATTGTCATTGAATGTGCAATCAACGTTGGTAAGATAATTATAGATAATATAATAATGCTCAGGCAATTCATCTTGTAACAATTCATTATTATTATCAAGTGGTTTAGTAGAAGAATATGTTAAATCATTACAACCTGAAGAAGATGTGTAATATTTAATTTGGTTGACATCTTCTTCATATTTGATATATGTGCCATCTGAATAAAAATAGCACTGTCCAATAAAATAAACTGAATCAAAATCATCACCAAATTGTATATAATATTTAGATAAAGCCAATGTGATGAGAAGATGAAGAACAAACATTTGGAAAATGTAGTGAATGATGTGTATTAAATACAAAAATTATTCGTTTTTTTTATTAATGAGTGTTTATTGTTTATTGTTCACCGTCAAAAACCATTAAAAATTTAAAATTACACAGAAAAATACACTATTCATTTGTATTTTTTTGTTTTATAGTTTAATTTAAATAATATTATTATTTTCAATTTAGATACAAAAACAGTGTTCCAAAAATATACACTAAAAAATATTGATTTTTTAAAGTAATATGGTACTTTTTTCTTGAAAATGGTAAAAATGTTGACTTTTTAAATATATATATTTTCAAAAACAAAATATATATATCACAGGGGGCTAAAAAAACTGCTTTAGTCTTTTTAACTGCTTCCAATGGATTTTATAGATTTAAATAATATTAATATAATAAAATGTATAGTACTGTTTACCATAAAAACTGAATATGCCTCGTGGAGACTTTTTCTGTCCGAGGTGGTAATTTGTATCATACTTTTTATTATAATGTTATTAGTTATAACTATTAAATTGATAGGAAGCGGTCAAAAAGACAAAAGCAATTTTTTATCCTCACTGTAAAACAATTTGATAAACAACATTTCTAAGAAAATATGAAATTTTGGTGTTTCTTCTTTTTTACACTTTTTAGGTTTCATGTGTTGTATTGATTTAAAAAAGCTTTCGTTCTTTTTGACATATAAATTTATTGTTTTAATGCTTTTTAATAAAACAAGCAGTTAAAACCTGTCATTTAAATACCGAGTTCAATTTTATGTTGATTTATGAACTAATTCTACTTTTTGTTATTGTTTTTGTTATTGTTGAAAAATAGAGTTTCTTTTTTGTTGTGAGTAAAAAACAAAGAAAAAAGTTGCACACTTATTCAGAATGACTTTTATTTAAATATTGTTTTATTATATAATAAACAATATAATTTGATTGTTATTTAATTATAGTACTGAAATATGTACCACGTTATTGAGGTATGTCAACATAGTTTATAAAGAGAATCTAAACAGTTAATTTACAAATGCAAATTTTTGTGAAGACACAAACAGGTAAGATAATCACATTGGAAGTTGAGCCAAACGATTCTGTTGATGTTATTAAGGCTAAAATTCGAGAAATAGAAGGTATTCCACGAGATCAACAGCGAATTATCTTTGTTGACAAACAGCTTGTAAAGGGAAAACCACTTTCCGACTACAACATCCAGAATCAGTCAACACTTCGCCTTGTTTTGAGATTGAGAGGGGATTAAAGCATTTTGCCTCTTTACGTTCGTCTTGCTTATTAATTCATTTTACGTATTAACACTTAAATGGCTTAAAGAAATTTTTTTGAAGGCAAGGAAAAAAAAAGACATAGACGCCAATTTAAAAAAAGTACTTAAAACAACCCATGTCCCTTTTGGGACATAATCTTACTCAAAAAAAGTATAAATGTTAACTCGATTATATAAGATTTTGCATTATTTTTTCAAAAAATACACTTTTCTCTCAAATTCTTTGATAACGATTATACCATACTCATTTCTATTATTTATTACTATGTATCACTTGTGTCGGTTTTCATTCAAACCAACGTGTATACATAGTGACATTATCATACTCAAACATACTTATTTGATTCTCAAATTAATTAATGTTCTAACTTTATTTTTTCAGTTGCCAAATGATAATCATTTAAAAAAAAATTCAGAATAAAAATATATTTTTAAAAGTCACTTATTTTAGAAACTATTATTTTTTCTTGGGGTTTTTGCATTTTGGGCACAAGAAAAGTGAGTGTTTAGTGCACACTGGAAGACCACAAGATTCACATATTCTTTTTGTTCGAGCCTTTTCAACTTTCTTGCAAAAAGCACAAAATCTCTTTTGGCAACTGTTAGTGATTTTTTCTTTGGAATTTGTTATTTTTTTGTTTTTCCCAACAACGTCTTCCCACCATTTTTGAAGTCCACACTCAACAAACAGCTGTCTTTTTTCTTCTCCTTTTTTCATCCCTCGATCAAGCCTTCTTTTAACGTAATTCTCACACATTTGTTCAGACAATTTAATTAAAAAATCAAAATGAGACATTTTTGTTTTTTCAAACATGGCATAGGCATTAGTGCAGCAACAATCCAGGATATTTTGAACAATTGCCAAATTGTATCTTCTCGTTTTCATTTTGCACGAATACTCTTGGCAAAGTTGATCAAAAGTATCAACTGGAGTTTTTGTATAATTGTAAGCCACATTTATTGAAGATTTTCCACTTCGAATGTCAATCAATGGAATTTGAATTTTATTGGTAACAATAATGACAGTTTTGCTTTTGTTTGGGTT